GTTAATTAACTGTAAGGTGTGGCTGTTAGATAACTTAGAAAACTGAATAGACTATGGTGCCTTATATACATCACCAAAGCTATTAGAATCCAGTCTCTGGGGAAAATGAAGGTCAGGAAAAAAAGCAAACAAAGTCAATTTGGCAGTCCAGCCAGCAGCTGTTGAGATATTTAAGTCAGTTAACTACAAAACATCACATATTGACTTGTGAACTTACATTTGAAAGGCTGAAGTTTAGTAGGCAAAGGCATCACGTTGCATTAAAGACTATAAACTCTTTAGAAAGATGTATACAGAGGCCATAAATTAAGTGTACCCTTTTCTTTGGACTTCTATATAGCTCGTCAACCTTCAGCAGCAAAAGAGCCAAAAGAGCCATTTTAGCCCCTCCTACCAAACAACGGGAGAAAAAAAAGGTTGCACAGGCTGGGGGATCAGACGTATGGATAATGGATGTAATTGGGAGGGGATAAATTAGTTCAAATTAGTTTTTTTTCACATAATTATTTTTCAAAGCTTGTGGGAACAGCAGCTGAAGGGCTAAAGAGCCGCAAGAGGCTCGTAAACCACAGGTTACCAACTTCTGTTCTCTAAAATCAGACTTCTTTTTGAAACTGTGAGACTCGCCCCCTGCTGGCCACTAGAAAGAATTCACATTTGAGCCACTTCCTCACTGGCTTCTCTTTTCAGATCTGGAGGCTACAATCATTTTTATACACAGTCTTAATTGGTGACCGAACACACTAAAAGAGCACTCCAGAGAGCCAAGCTGCCAGAGTGGTTAATATACCTCATTCGTTTTTCCAGCCTAAAACAGAAATTAGAAGCATGCGGTGGAGCACATCATACCTGCTTCACTGTGCAGATCTCTCTTGTTTGGTCCATCCTTGGGCGTTTTCTTCTTACTCCTGGATCTGTGCGCCGGGGCTGTGGGGCTCGACTCTGCAGCTGTAACAGGAAATTGTCCTGACGGGAAAGAACACTGATGTCATCCTCAGGACACGAACAGGGAAAACTAAGAAACGCTGAACGTCACTCTGAATAAATGCAACATGATTTTCTTGTACAAATTCTCTCCGTTTAGTTACATCATAAACTAAATTATACATGACACTATGTGGTTGTGTGTGGATGCTGTGAAGCATTAAGCTGAATTCAAACTGACCTTTACCAAGGCTTTCCCCCTTGAAATCATCTACCCACTGGCTAGTGCGGTATACCTCACTGCCATCCTGGGCCTTCATGTTGGTAAACAGATCGGGGTTAGACTGGGAGACCAAGTGGTGACGTGCCAAGAGGTCAAAATGCTGCAGCCGTGGACTGTCATTAGGCTTGGATGCATCTTGCTGGTGGGGAGATGTCAAAGTTGCAGTGTAGGACAGCTCATCTGGTTTAGAGGGCAGGCTGGGGAGTTCCTCCCTGGAAGTGTCCATCAGGTAGGTTCTGGCTGGCAGAGGAGGACACCAGTCATCGTCCTCCTCCTCAGAGCTAAGGGACAAGAGAAGGCAGTGAGTGTGCATCTTTGAGGGAATTACCACAAATAAAAAATTGCTTATAAACAACAGTCCAGATGTGAGTGAATGGCTGAACTAAGCACCAATCAGTGTCATCAGTTTACACTAATCATGTTTTACTGAATATTTTAAGTATCATACGGTTTTGTGCAAAAGTCTTGAGCCACCCTTTATCTCTTTATAATTTGCCAGGATGGTATTAGATGGTTGATAAAAGGCTGATGGTACTTTTCTGTGTTCATAATTCCATCAATTTTGACAATATCTCCAACACCACTGGCTGAAATGCTCCACCCATGACAGAGTGTCCACCATGTTTTAAAGATGGCTGTAGACACTCACTGTTGTGCCTCACTTCTTTGGGTTCATCAGTCCATTCAAGTTCTCGTTTGAGTTGTGGCAAGCACCAAGCAAACAAAAAACGTTGCTTTGAAAGTGGTTAGGTACAAGGAGTAGACTGAAACGAGCCACGGTAAAAAAAAAAAAAAAAACCCTTTGAAAAACCTCCAGAAAGCCAGAACTTTAGAAAGGAAGGGTGAGTCAAGACTTTTACAAAGTACCGCACAGTATTAAACAATCAGAGATGTAAAGCTACCTGCTGTGGTGACAGGAAAAACAAAAGCAATGTAATGGTTTTTTTACTCCCATGAACCTGCATTTTCTTCACACAGACAACTAAGTTCAAACATTCAGTATGTTTGAACTTCTAAGTAAAATATCAGCTCATTTAGAACTTAATGCCAGCCTTACTTTTGTTGAAGTGGGGTCGTTAGAAACTGAACAAATTATGGAAAACAACTTTTTTTTTTAAATTCACTGTTTACTTTTTTCCTCATAGCAGAGGCTTCACAGACCAGCATGTTGAGAAAAGAAGCTGAAATGAGCCAAGATTTTAGACTTTAAACAAATAATTAGTGATTTGCGCTTACAGCTACTACAGATGTGTGTGTTTACTTGTTGATTTTTCCATCTATGAGGATTTTGTGATAATCTGCAAACTAAAACACACAAATGTCAAGCTGCTAGATCACACAAGCTTGTAACATGTCGAAACAAACATCTGGTGTTGAGATACTTCCAATAACTGTGCACAAAAATACCACTAACACCACTATATATATAAAAAATATTCAAATCAATTCAGTTTTATTTATATAGCACCAAATCACAACAACAGTCACCTCAAGGCGCTTTATACTGCAACTTAAAGACCCTTCAATAATAATATATATTAAAAAAATAATAACCTAATTTCAAGTCCTTGTGGGAAAAGGGAACCAGTGTAGCATTCCCGAAGACCAGAACCACCTCCATAATTTCTGTTGTCACTTCAATGCCGTCAGGGCTAATTTAATGAACGATGTGTCATTGAAAAGGCAAAGTACTAATCCAGCCTGTCAGATGGTGGCTAATGTCATTAGGAAAGACACGGCACAGTCAGACCAGCCCTCCGATCCAACCCCGATATGTCCGCAATCTAATCTGTCAGAACTAGTTAGAGTGGACGCTCCCGTCTGCAGCCCCAAAGCACGATCTACTCACTGCCTGCAGACACAGCTGTTAATGTGAAAACTCCCCAGACTCCAAACTTCACTCAAGTTTTGCTTGGCAGTCACAGCACAGTTCTAGGGCAGTTTTGATATTCATCTGCCTTAACTGCCTCTGTCATATAGGTGAAGGCAGAGGCCTCCATGCTAAAAATAAACTGACTGATCACACAAAAATAAATGCCACTGTCCTTGGAGGGGGGTAAAGAAGTGGCCTTAACAACAACCTGACATTTAACAGTGCAGTGATTTGTCTCACCTGTGCTGCTCATCTTCTTTGTGTGTTTTTGTACGGTGTCCATCTTTATTGGCGGGAAGAGGTAGAGACAAGACATCCACCCAGGTGAGAGGACCTGCCTTGGATGATGACCCAGTAGACCTCTGCTTTACCAGTTTGTCTAAAAAAACCCAAACAATGTGTGAGCCATAATCGTTGTGTTACTCGTTTCCACACTAAAGCTCAAACTGCTTGCTAAGTAAAGGTTTTTAAATATGTCCTTTCTGTGTCCACAGCTGTTAGCACCTCAAAGAATTTTCCTTTTACTGACCATTTTATATCTTCAAAGGCACCTTAAGCGTCTGTAGAATCACTGGATATCAAAAGGAATGAAGCACTTAACCTCCGCATACCTTTCCATTCGCACAGTATGTTTCAAAGTTTCAGAGCATGGCAGGCTTATTCACAAAGCACCTTTCAATAAGCCAATTCAAAGCCCAGGATATTGGATATAAAAGGGCATTTAAGTATATCATATGTGAGTTAATGAAGCTGCCCAAGCTTTCACATGTGGGTGGAAGTATACGTGTTGTAGGTGGTTACAACACTTGCATATAAGAAAAGAGATGAAAACATTGCACTATGGCAGCCATATAAACTATCTATAAAACAAAGCACGTTTGGCCAATGTCAAGCTACAGAAAAAAAGGCAGCTCACTAATATTTCCTTTTTAAGGTCGCCGTGCTCTAATAAATGTAATTACACAAGCAACGTCTCAGTTTGTTACACGTAATCACAAGTCTACACAGTTTTATGAAGTTAGCTTATTACTATGGAACTGCAGTGCGTTCAGAAAATGAAAAAAGATGAATGCAGACCTTCCCGTGTAATCATGTCGTTCTATATCGTCCAAGAAAAGATCTCATTACTGTGCAATCTCGTAATTAAAACATCTTAAAAAGGTTAAGGTGGTGATGATGATGATCCATTTTGAATAACAGAACAGGTGTTTTCCTCCCCGCAAAATTAAATGAATGTGTGATTTTCAAATGGTTATTAACCGTCTCAACAGATTTTCAAGAAGCATAATGCTGCCATAACGACAACTACAGAAAATTATTTTTCTCATGACTGTGTATAAAGAGCCAGACAGACGACCACATTTCCAATTAAGCTGTCCAAAGATACATTTTTTCATCTTTTCCACTTCCACAAAATTCTCACCGTTGCTCTTCTTGCTGTACTGAAGCTTGGCGTATTCAGATCCAGAGTGACCAGACTTTATGGTCCAATGATCCAAGTCCTGCTCCAGACCTCCAAACCCACTGTTTGACAGTATTGGGTTGCTGCTGTACGGGTCTGGACCCTGGTTGTAGGACGTGCTCGAGTAGGTGTCGTAGTACGCCAGGAGGTCGTCTTCAGCCGTTGTGTTGATGGTGCTGTAGATGGGACTGTCGTTGGACGCCGTGCTGTGCTTCTCTGACTGGTTCGGGTAGTTTATGATCCCAACAGCTGCACAGCAAATGACTATGTTACATTAACAAGGACAATCTTTTATTCAGCACTCTAGCATTTCACATCAGAGAGCTCTTACTGTTGTAATATCTCTCTGAATCCAGTTTGCCAGAGCAGCAGTTGACCGAGTCTTTGCTGTTGTGAGTGAGGTTTGGAGTGGGCCAAGAGTCTGCCAGCCAGGGGTAGTTGCCCATATTTGATCCCAACAAGCCAGGCCTGGGAAGAAAGATTAGATTATATCAATACTGCTTCTATGAAACACACAGTGACACTAATCATCTGATGAATCAAATCATAACGTAGAGTTTACCCTCCATTAATGATTCCTGATCCCTCACTGTGAGCGAAGCCAACTGCAAGAGGAAAAAAGAGCAAAGTTATAAATTTAGAAAACAGCAAAGAAGATAAAGCTTTTGCCTTAAGCCTCTTTTTTTCCCCAAAGAGCCACTGAAAGATAAAGATGTTTTGGACTGAATTATCATGCTCCATAAACAAATAAACTGTTTATCCCACACGGAGGTTTAAGAAAGCAGATTTGAATTGATATTTTATGAGGGTGCACTGTTGACCTACATACACCAAGAGGAACACAGCAGATCTATATAGAGTATGCCTGCAATACATAAAAATGCAGATGTCATTTTTCTGCTGCTGGAGTTTCTGGAGTTAGGGATGGTTAAAATCCATTTTTAATTAAATAAAGAAATCCATACCATAAAGTGAAATACATACATGCAACACTATGAAATATTAATGCGAAAATTAAATTGCATATTTGCTTCTAAGGCCTTGAGCCATTATTGAACAAATACATCTCAAAGTCAGACAAGAACTGAGAACTGATGTGCTGTGTGCTTCTGAGCCAAAGGGCATCAAGTAAAGTGTGCGCTGAGCTTCTTACATATGCTTCAGAGTGTCTCTTGAGGGTTTTTTCTTTCTTTTTTTCCCTTTGCTCCTGCCATGAAGACTACCCATTGGGAATAAATATATTTTAATTAACTGAATATGCGATTAAAGTGCAGGCATCGCTTTGCAAAGCACAAACTAAAATTGAAAACATTCATCACTGCTCCAGATATCCCCGGAGTTCTATTAAGAACTTTGTCACCTGTCATTGGATGAAAACAAAATCTGATGGTTTGTGTCTTTTTTTCTCTTTTATGTCTCCGTTACATATTGAGTCGTCTGTGACAAGGTTCATCAAATCATCTCGAGTCCTGTGACAATAACCTCTCCTGCTTTTTCCTTTTTTTTCTCTACCTAAAGCAGGTAAGTAAGTCATAGTTAATCCCCCCTCCCCCCCTCACCTGCTGGGGTGTATGCGAAGGATGTGGTATAGTGTCCCAGCTGCTTCCTCCTTCGGTGGCGACAGTATAGCCACCCGCTGAAGCCCATCAGCACCAACCACGCAGCCACACCCAGCCCAGCGATAAAGGCTGGCTGGCGGATGACGCTTGTGATCTGCTCTGCTATGCTGAGGTCATCGCCCTTAGTCACGGTCGTTGAAGTCTTCTCAAGCGGGGGAGCTGAAAGAGAAGCGATCCAGTCAATCGAGCCACATGATACACAGCCAAAGCAGAGAGCTGTCAGTCACTTCAGGGTAGAAAAAAAAACAAGCTTTTTAAATGGTTTTGTTTCCTCACATATCATTCAGGTTGAATAAATAGTAAACTGAGTAAATTCTTCTTTTAATGGGCCAGCACAGTCGAGGGGATTAGGATCAAATTGGGGCATTAAAGCACTTGAAAACTGGTTAAACGTGAAGGAAGTTATATTGATTTTATTTGTGGACATACTTCCTGCCTGCACAGACACGCATTAGGAGATGTGCCGGAGACGCCCCAAAGGAACAACAGGTGGAAAGTTACAACTTACAAGCAGTTTATCTTAGCCATCTATAATTAGTCTGCCATCTATAATCCAGTTTTGAGATCCCTTCCCAGATGCCTTAACGCCCACTCACATCTTGGGCCATTTGACCTCAGAAAATAGGGTGGGGCCAGGTTTCACAGTGGATTCACCTGAAACTTTGGCTGTCTGTGACCCACACCCATTTTAACACCTTGGCTTGTGTGATTAGGTAGAGAATCAATAGGAGGTCCATGACCCTCTTGTTGGAAACTCCTATAGGGCTTAAAATCTGTTGCTCTGGTGGAGAGTCCCAAGTTCACTACACATGGTTGCAATTATTTTGGGGTTGTAAATTATCTTTCCCTAGTGTGACTGTATCATAAAACTGTAACTTGTGTTGGTACAGATTAAACAAGACATAGAAGACATGCTAGTTTTTCCACCTTTGGTGTTTTTAGACTTTTTGATAAGCCAAGTTAGATCCAACAGA